TACCTTGGGGAGGCGGTGAGCAGGAAGCCATCGAAGAGGCTGCTGCAGAAGTCCTCCAGGGCAAACTCCTCGGCCAGCAGTGCCAGGTTCCCCGTGAGCAGGTGCAGGAAGATGTCGCCGAAGGCCAGGTCGCTGAAGGTCTCCATGAGCCTGGGCAGCAGGCGGAGGGCGTTCTTGTTCCTCTGCTTGGTGATGTGCAGCACGTAGTAGAGCCCCACCTCGCAGGCCGTGCACTGCTCCCGCAGGAACCTGGTGAAGGTCTCGGGAAGAGCGCTCGGGTAGGTGGCCGGGGGAACTTAGTGATGAGCTCCACCTCCATCCTGAGCTCCTTGCAGACCTGGCTGTCGATCATGTCCCAGGCCCCCTGGCCCAGCGCCAGGAGCCTGAGCAGCAGCAGCAGATCAGGCCTGTCCCTGGGCAGCGTCTCCTGGCCGACCAGCTCCTGCAGGTGCCGGACGGTGCTCAGGGACAGCGTGCTGATGGCGAAGGGGTCACACAGGATCATGGACAGGTCCCCCAGTACTTGCTCCTGACCCTTCTTCACTCCGTCGAGAAACCCCTGCAGCTCCCGCGCCCGCTTGCTGTCCACGAAGCGCTCCCGGATGCAGGCGTCCAGGCACCAGATGAACTTGTGGCACGGGTCCACCGAGCAGATGTCGCCCACGTCCCCGTCGTGCAGGGACAGGAGCAGCTCGGCGCGCAGCGTGCAGTAGTGCACATTCCGCGTGCGCAGGAAGAGGGCCCGCAGGAACTGCAGCACCATGTCGTACAGCTTCAGGGTCTTCCCCACCATCTGCGTCAGCTTCTGCACCACCTCGCCGCGGCGCCGCCTCCGGGGGGAAGGACTGAAGAAGTTGTGCAGGACGGAGAGCTCGGTGCTGAAGAGCGCGCGCTCCTTCTCCAGGATGTACTGCTTCAGCAGCGGGGACACCTCGTCGCCAAAGAGCGCCTGGTTGTCCTGCCAGACCTGCCGCTTCACCTCCACGGCGCAGGCGCGGTACAGCTCCTTGTCGGCCATGACCAGCTTCAGCTTCTTCTCAGGGACCCTGGGCAGGTGTTTCATGGCGCACATCACCACCGGCTGCAGCGACGGCATCTTCACCAGCGGAAAGCTCTTCTCCAGCAGGTCTTCCAGCTTCTTGTACCTCTCCTCCGCCTTCCCCTCCGCGGCGATGGCCGACACTCGCTCCAGCAGCTTCTCCCGCAGCTCTTCCAACACGGACTGGTGGAGCTCCAGGCGCGGCGTCCTGTGCAGGTCCAAGAAGGGCAGGGCCGACTGCAGGGAGGGCAGCAGCACGCCGTTCTCTGTCTGGAACTGCTCGATGGCCTTGAGCGGTTCCGTGCAGTTGGTGAGCGTCTCCTTCAGGTCCTCGCCATTGGCCACGCCCAGGTCCTGCAGCCTCGCCAACAGGGCAGAGCCGGGGTCCCAGGCCGGCTCGGCGCCCCATCCCCACTGCGCTCCTCCGTTTTTTCCGCTCGCTAGGACCGCGGAGGCCGCCTGAGCTCCTCTCCCGGGCGCCCTCCAGCTCGCCAGGTCCCTGGCCCCAAACCACCCCCTTCCGCCCCCGCACCGCGGGTCAAGGGCTAACCAGCTCGGCCAGAAACGGCAGTGGCACGGAATCCCTTGCTGATCCAACAGAGTATGAGAACCTTTTTCCTGGATTAAAAGAAGCCTTTGTTGTGGAAGAATGGGTGAAGGAAACACATGCTGACCTGTTGCCAGCTAAGCAATACCCACTTGTCACGCCAAATGAAGAAAGAATGTAATGGAAGAGTCAAAAGGTTTTCTATTGGGGTCCAACGGTTCCCAAAGGCGTGGACAGAGCCGGTGAAGAAGGAATGACACAGAGACAGCATTCAGTTGATCAGCATAGTTGGGTTCTCTAGCCAGGATCTCCAGCCAGGTTCTGTATTTATTGTCTTGTTATATCTGTATTTATAGCAGTTGATTTTAATCCTATTAATTCTATTCCAAAGGTTAGGGCGCTTCTTATCTCCATTCCACGGTTACTCTATTGTTCTATTAAACTACAAGGAAGTAACTGAAGGAGATTATCCTAAGTAAAGATTATGTACCTTAAGCGTGATTGTAGTTAAAGTGATTAATTACCCGCCTGGCACTTAGTTAAGGAGTTTTATTCCCTCCCTAACTCCAGGGAAAAATCCTCACCTGGGGAAACAATCTCTCTCGGGGAGGTGGTCCTGTTTAAAATACATAGGGTTAAGAGGGAGAGCAAACATGCCATATATGCCAGGTCCCTTGAAACATAAGCTGTGCAGATGTTTCTTCCTGCAGCAACTGTGTCAAGCAGCACGGGTGGATTGGCTTCCGGCAGCTTTCAGCTCTCAAGATCTGCACCTGAACCGGAATTTGATGAGAAACCTGCTTCTCCTACTCCAGTTATCATAGACTCCCACACAGCCAACAAAGAAGGAAAGAGTTTACTTGAACTAGAAGATTTGGATAATTTGGATTTAGAAGATATTGACACAACAGATATCAACCTGGATGAAGAGATTTTGGATGATTAAATGTAATGTTTCCCATTTACACGACTAAACAGATTATTATGGACAGGTATTAATTGTTGCCCTGACCGCAGTGCTCTGGGACTCTGAGAAGAAACTCCTTAAATTGTATGTAAACACTGTTGTGCCCTCCTGGTCTTAGGAAGTTTGTGTGGCATCTACACCACTGTGTGTTTCCTTGTCTACTAAAATAGACATGGACTTTGATTTTTTTCATACTGTCATTAGACCATATCTCATAAAATCTTTTGAGTTAATGAAAAAAAAAGAGAGAGAGAGAAGGGAGAGAAGGTAGGCCCTCTGGAATGAGGCCCAGAAATCAGGATTTTAAAAAGATTCCCGGGTGATTCTAATGTGCAGCCGAGGTTGAGAACCACTGACCTAGATGCATGGAAACAGGACTAGTTTAAAGCAAAGATAAACCCTTTACTAAAGAAGTTATATGCCTTGGGCATGACTACCCACCATGACCGGCCCAGATAGAAATTTATGATTAGATCACTCTGTGTGGTTACTTTCCATGGAACCCTTTTTTCATCCACATTCCTTTACGAAAGTGATTGTGGGGGAGGAAAAATAATTTCCCCTCTACTCTTCTAGGTTCTTGGCTAAGACACTCTAGTAATAATAGATTAACTGGAGGGGTGGGGGGAGGAGGGGGGAAACCAACAGAATGTTTAATAACATATATCTCCCGTATACTAGATATCTAGAAAAGTTGAGTATTTCCCTCAAATGGTCCAGCTACCATCTTAAATAAGATCTTCAGCTAAAGACAAAAGAAAATATTGTGGGTTCAGGGAGTTGAGTTATGGGAGGTTACCTGTAGGGAGCGGCTCTAGGGTCAAGCCTTGGGCTGACCTGTGGCAGGGCCACAAACAAGTCCCAGTCTGGAGGGCAGAGCTCTCCTAACATAACTAAGCCTGACTTTGTAGCCCCCCTAATTCCTTCCTAAGTAGATAATGGGCTGTGGAAGGTGCAGCAAGTGTTGCCAAAACAAGAACGTTTGTATACATGTTAATCTGCCTTTGTTTTAATCAGACTATAGCATCGTCTTGCAGGCTGAGTCTTTTGTGTCCTCATCCAGGTATGGGAGATCCACCAAGCCCCAGCTGTATTAGCTTGTCTGTCTTTTCTTCAATCCTTCACTGCCCCTCCTCAGGTTCACCCTTGGCTATGCTGGCTTGGCACAGTTACCAGGAAAAGCATAGTAAACAAGGTTGTTATGCAGATTTAAGTTGCTTAATAAGCGTTTTTAGAGATTTAGGGTCATTTGCCTCTTTCTCATACATAGAGAAAGACAGCCTTACATCTGGAGATTTTCCATATAAATGTAAGAACTTTTACTTGGCTTTCCAAGCTTCTCCTGCTTCTGCTATTTTAAAAATAATCCTTATGCCAAGGAAGCATATTTTGGGGTGACAAATTTGGCTCCCATTTATGATATTGATATTGTCTGATATTCAAAGAATTATTTTATCAGCCTGGTTAACTGATTTTCTTGGACTCATTATTCTTTAAGTGAAATAGCCTAAAATTGACTGTAAAATTTTTCTATTTGTTTGACTATAGTAGATGTAGCAGTGGAAAACTCTCCCCTTTTTTCCTTCTAGGTTCTTTGGGTGGTCTAATGACCAAGTTAACAAAAGACACCTTAATAGAAAAAAAACACACAAGTTTTGTGTATATGGGAGCCCCATAAAAATATGACACTCCCCGGCAGTAAGGTCTTAATACCATCCTGAGCAGAGGAGAAAGGAGTAAGGGTCTGAATCTTCAAAGTAGGAAGATTTTTAAACTTAAACTATATAGGTAGGTCCATTGTTATTAACTTAATTAGGGTACTAAATACCAAGCATGCCTTTGCTAAAAACGTCCTCAATCTGATTGAGGTACGTTCGCTGAGGTCGACCCCTTCCAACTCTCCCATTCACACTCGTCTTGTATACTTGTTTCGTCTATCTCCTTTCCGAAAACCGACTTCTGCACATGGGCCACGAAGGTTCAATCGCACTGTACGTGTGAGCCCGCACGTGGTATTTTGTGGAAGAGCCACGCTCAAGGGGCCAAAGAGCCGCATGTGGCTTGCGAGCCACGGTTTGCCGACCACTGCCTTAGACCATTAGGAAAGCAAAATCAATGGGGCACACCTGTCTGAATCCTCTGTCTTCTGACCCTTCATCTAGAATTTCAACTGGGGTCCTTCACCTGGGCCTGTATTAAACCTTCATTTGGCTTTGGCTTTGCAGTTACTGACTCAGGTTCTGTCTGCACCTCCTCCCAACTGTGAAGGGGGCTGCACCCTATTCGAGAGGCTGATTTTCCACCTGCACGAGGTGTTTCATTTGTGTTATTTGGCCATTCTTCTCCCAGTAAGGAGTAACGAAATCCAGCGTGAGCTCTGAGGAGCAATCCCATCAGACCATGATCATGTTCATTTCTTGATCCCTTACCAAACCAAAAGTGTGCATCATGTTTCCTGATACAAAAAGTCAGGATGAAATATCCAAATATAAGTGCCATGTGCTTGAGAGGCAGGTGGGGGCTTGAGAAGATGGGTGCTGGTTTTCAAGTATTTTCTTCATGACTTTCAGGCTTTCCTCATTGAGGTACGAATCCCCAGTCATATATTCTGTTATGTCTAATTTTGAAATAATAAACCTATTTCCTCCTCCTCCAGAAACCCTATTTTCTGAGACAGCACTCCATCTACACATGAATCTCACGGTGGGTGCCAACGCTTGTGATGAGTTTCCCAGTGAGCCTGGATAAATTGCCCTAATTAAATTAATGGAGAAAACCAGATATTTAGGTGGTTATTGTGTTGTCACAATGCCCATGAATTGGATTGGGAGACTGTATAAAAATAGAAGAATAATTTTAGTTTGCCATATGTGGCAGTAAAATTCTCAAATTTGGTTATTCAAATCTCACTTCTATTTTAGGCACGCTGTAGATCCTGTGTAGAGGATCAAGTTGCACAGATGAAATTCTTGGCAGATTCTTTAAAAACCCTTCCAGGATTATCTGATTCTATAGAGGTCTGTGTCTTTCATTGTTCTTGACCAGTGATTTTCAACTGGTGGTTTGCAAGAATTTTGAAAACATGCAACATCTGGCTGTTTAGTCAGGGACACTGACCTCTTTTCCCTGAGATTGTCAAATTTAAAAAAAAAATGACAACAGCCAACACAACAATAGCTGTCTGGTGTGAATGAATCAAAATGATACATATATTTTTTTGTCAGATTAGTAAAAAAAAATATATTTTTTGGTGTGCCACAGAATTTCAGTAGTTTGTGTGCCATGAGATGAAAAAGGTTGAAAAATCACTGTTCTTGGAAGACTGATAGTGATGTAACTAATTCCCATTTTTAGAAATACAAATGAATTTTGTTTAATGAAGTTGCATCAATTTGTACTCTTCGGAAGAGACCAGTTTTGCATTGGTCAGTAAATTCAATTCAGAATTGCTGATACCCATGTATTTGTTTTTCCTTTGGATTCTCCTTTGAATCAATTTTTGCTTCTTACTGGTTTCCTCAATAAATAGTGAAATAAAAAATCTTTGACACATTCATTTTATATTTGTATGAGAGTCACAATTTTTTTAATGTTTGTATTTATTTATTTATTTATTTATTTATTTATTTAGGGGGGAAAGGAGAGAAACATCAATGACAGAGAAACAGTGATCGGCTGCCTCTTACACTCTCTCTATTGGGAATTGAGCCTCAAACCCCAGCCTTGACCCAGAAATCAAACCAGTTACCTTTCAGTGCATGGGAGGATGCTCAACCAACTGAGCCACACAGGCCAGGGTGAAAGTTACAATTTTTAAAAATCACCTTTTAGCACCCTGATTCTCTAGCAACTTAGTTCATCCCCAAAAATAGGGTTGGGAAGGGGCAACTAAGCATTTACCCAGAAGAGACTAGTGAATGAGCTACTTATAAGGGTAAGATAATGTTTACCCTCCTTCCTGGACATAGAGGCTCCAGATTTGGGTTTAATTTGGTATAGAGTTATAAAAAACACTATATGTTTGCACAGCCAAATTTGAGGACTGCTGTGGTTCTCTCTTTTCAATCCTACATTTTAACTAGTTCACTTACATAACAAAGAAAATGGTAATAGCAGATGTCATGATGGCCTTAGAGAAACAGGATAGAAAAACAAATATCATTGGATCTCTCGCTTTCCCCAGCAATTATCCCGCACCTGTTCCTACCGTTAACTTCATTCTCCCAGGCTGCCTTCTCCACAAGTTTTGACTTACAAGCTCTAGCATCTCAGTATCTCTTACTCATATCCTTTGTGGAAAAAAACAAGAGCACTATTAACATAAGTTTTTTGTTTTTTTTCAAAACTGTCGGCATGAGGAGTGTTCTAACTTGGGAAGGAGGGTGGAATTTTTTATAGTGCTTCAGCAGGCAGGGTCAGATGAAGTTCAGCTAGTTTCAAGAATACTTGTTCAAAGATGGTTCTAGGGAAAAGGAGGAATTATTCTCACTAATTAGCAGCCATTATTTCGACAATTTGGATTTACCAAGAGGAATGGGAGGAAGCATGAAGGGCTGAAGTCATGTGCAAATGAGGATGCAAAAGCTACAGTGGACAATGGAAACTTTTCAGTCATCAAACCATAGACACCCTGTTCTCACATGCAGTTGGCTAAATCCTAGGAAAGGCTTATTATTGATTTGAGTTGGAACATATGCCTATCTATGAACCACTTACTGTGGTCAAGGAACAGGGTTAAAGACAAAGAGGCTGCTCTCAAGCCAGCCCAAAGGTTAGAGCAGGGGGAGGAATAGCTCTCAAAAGGGAGTAGCTAGACCTGGCCCATGAGAGTATCACAGTGAGCAGGGCAGCCCCCACCCTTTCTCTCCATTTGTGTCCATGATACCTTCCTTTCCCGCCTTCCAGGTGAACAGTTCAACTTTGTCTCTAGGGGACACTGCTTAAAGAGGACCACTCAGAGGACATTTTGCCTAATGAGTGTGAAGAGCAAACCCAGCCGCAGTGGTGAAAGCTTCTTCTGGAGTAGCCCCAAATAGAACTGCTGGAAGGCTGTGTTACTAAAGACAGAAACAGATTCAGCCCGAATGCCCAGACTTCCTCTTCTGAAATCCTTGGAACTTTTAAAATGATTATCTTAGGGAAGATAAACAAGTTTGGTTTTAATATACATCTGAATAGTGGCTGTGCTCTGTGCCTCTTCTTTCTTTTATCTGTTTTTGGCAGCAAAACCCCTTTCAAGTATCCAATGCCCATTACCCCTTCCTTTTCCTATAAAAATAAAACAGATCTGCCCAATGAAAAAAGTAAGTTACCAGTGAAAAAAATGAAGATTGAGAGAAAGAAAATATCTTCCCTTACCATTTATATTTTGCTAGAAGAACAAGTTGGTTACATATTATAGACTTTAGTAAAAATCACCAGAATTTGAATCCTGACTTCTCACTTACTTGCTCCATGACCTTGGGCCAACACTCAACCTCAGTGTCTTAGTTCTCTTATTTCAAAAATGAAGAATAGCACCTACCTCAAAATGTTAAAGAATTATGTGTGTAAAGAACACACCATTGTATCTAAAATATATTAAAATTCAATACTTATTGTTTTTGATGGTGATGAAGATGACGGTGATGATTATGAAGGAATTAAAGCCTATTTATCTATATGTTTTCACACACCCCCATTAGTATTTTTAAAGTAGAATTTCAGGATTAGAAGGGAACTCACAAATACTAGTAACATAAGCCAGTGGTCAAGCCTCTCTCTCTAAAGAAACCTCAGCTACTACAGGACCAGGATGGGGGAGAAAGAGATGGGTGGAGTTGAAGAAGGTGGTGAGTGAGCCAGGGAGCCAGGGACAAAGGAATCCTTGTTTTGGAGAGATGGGTCCAAGCTTTCTCTTTGTGTGTGTGTGTGTGTGCGCGCGCGCGTGAATGTCCATGTGTACATTCAAGGGGTGTGATGACTAAACAGTATGTAACATCAAGAATTTATCAACATTGCCCTAACCGGTTTGGCTCAGTGGAAGGAGCGTCGGCCTGCAGATTGAAGGGTCCCACGTTCGATTTCTGTCAAGGGCATGTACCTTGGTTGCGGGTACATCCCCAGTAGGGGGTGTGCAGGAGGCAGCTGATCGATGTTTCTAACTCTCTCTCTCCCTTCCTCTCTGTAAAAAATCAATAAAATATATTTTAAAAAAGAAATTATCAACATTGACACTGATTACAGATGCTGGTGAATTAGCAGTGTAGAAAGGGAAAATAAAATATGGCTTAGCTGTGAAAAAGTAATACTAATTACAGTCATTTACATGAGCTCTTACCAGTTATGTTGAATTACCATGCAGCACAATCATAATCATTAAATACGTGCCCAGTTAACTTTCATGTAAGTTGTCTTGATTAGTCACCACCTCTGCTCCCCTTAGACAGTTGCTCAGGGACACGTTGCTTAAAGTCCCCGATCCTTCAGGGGCTATCAAGAGGGACCTGATGCCCCTGGAGTTCCAGAAAAGACTGCAGGTTGTACTGACAGTTTACTCTAGTTTGAGAAAACAGTCCTCTCAATCACATTGCAATGCAGGGGGAAGGATCTGCATGAAGGATCTGAGGTCTTCCCTCCTTTTCTTTTCTACCAGAAGGTCTTCAGAGAGCCCAGGGAGCTTACCGTCCACAGCTGAGGACACACACACACACACACACACACCAAGAGACAGTAATAGATACAAAGAGAAATAGAGAAGGACATGAACACCAAGAGACAGAAAGAGACAGATTCAGAGAGGCAGACAGAGGTGGAGACAGAGGCAAGTAGACAAACGATATAAAAAGTGGGGTAAAGACAAAGACACAGAGTCCGTTCAGTAAGGAGAGTATATTCACCATATGATTCCACTTACATGTGGAATCTAATGAACAGAATAAATTGACGAACAGGCATGGATGCATGGAACAGGCTGACAGCTGTTGGAGGGGAGGGAGGGACTGGATGAAAGAAGGTGAAGAGATTAACCAAAGATCATATATGCATAACCCATCGACACAGACAACAGCGTGGTGATGGCCAGAGGAAGCGGGGCCGGGGCTTAGTGGAGGCGGGCAAAGGGTGGGAAAATGGGGACATCTGTAATAGGGTCAACAATAAAAAATAAAGTTAAACACAAAAAGGAGAATATACTCAGAGGCCTTTACTGGTTGTTTTTCTTGGATACTTCAGGAGACAAACATATTTCCCACAACAGACCCAGCCAATTGTAGGGTCTCTCATTGTCTTAGATGATAAGGTTACAGGAAGAGGAGATAAAAAGTAGATAAACAGAAAAGGGGAGGTAAGGAGAAGAGAGAGAGCTGAAGCAACAGAAGGAGA